TGGAGTGTATATGGGATGCTTTCGGCTGCTTCCAACCTGCTCAAGGTGACCAGATGGCCTGACTTTCCTGAGTTCAGGACATGTCCTTTCGGTGGTGCCAAATAGACTCTGGACTTCGAGGGAAAACTGTGTCGAGGTCCACTCGAGTAGCGTCAGACCCTATATATAGATACGTCACATGGACGAAGACTTCAGGCCACATGGAAGTCGAGCGGAAGAACCCCCCTGTTCGTAAAGGAACCGCCGTCTTCCATCCACCTAACCATGTCTTCGTCAGAGTGTCTTTGCCCTAGGGCTCCTGGTCCATATCCTCAAGTTCGGTGCTTAGACCCCCCTGGCACCCACCAGAAGCATCTTCTCAGGAGGTAAGCCAGGAGCCCCTATTCATCTAAGACTGAACTTCCGGACTCCGACATGGACCTTCAAGTGGGCGCGCCCGTTCATGCTGAAAGCGTCATGGCACCCCTGGAAGCGGACCCCGTTCACCCTGGTGACCCATGGAATGGCGGGGACTGGCATACGACTAATGGGACTGGCAGTCCGGGCTGCCGAGAAAAGGCCAGGGGTGGTTGACTGGAGGTCGGGCTGCAGTCCGTCCTGGCAGTCCCAGACAGGTCGTGTTTGGGTTCTGTGCCCGGTTTGGATCCCCAGCCTTGTGAAGCTCGGAATTCCAGCTTCAGCGATGAATTCCAGGGATCCCTCGTGCTGTCTTCGTGATGTCTTCGTCGTAGCACGTCTCAGACTGGTCGACCCTCTGGGATCCCTCTCGTCACTGGTCGACTGAACTCGTAGGCGTAGGTCGGCAGAAGTCATCCAAATGGGATGGGTGGTGGCTGTGAGTCCAAGCATGGTTTTTTCCACGATCATCTCATGGCGTCATGGGTGGTGGCCATCCGGATTATTGGCCAAATGTTTCAGACATAGAAACACCTTTCTTTAAGTTGAAGATTTGTGGGAGCAGGGCCTCTTTACACATGCACTCTACATAAGACGAACACGTCATGGAGGGCTGCCTGCCTGGCTGGCGACCGCGTCGCTTTTGGACCGCGCGCGAGGTGAGCTTGGAACGGTGTATACGGCCCTGCCGGAGTTGGTGAGCAAGGTGGAGCGTGGGAGCGCGCTTTTTTGGGTGGGGGGTAAGAGAACAAGTGGAAAGGAACCCCACCCACCCAAAAGTGGCTAACCCCAGAACTCAAAAGTCATGAGAAACTGAAGGACGACTCAAACGACTCAAGCGAAAGAACCAAGTTCTGAGACACGTCCGACACCTGCAGACCAGGCCGGTTTCGGGGGAATGGAGACCATCCCACCAAACAAGAACATGTTTTCGGATGGGAAAACGGAAAACATCTGCAGCAAACCCATCGAACGGTGAACACCTATATGGTTTCCTTTGGAAAAGGCCGGTGCCCAGGCTCTAAGACCTGTGTTTGGTTCTTTTTTCCACTGATTTTGGAAGTAGATGTTCCCTTTCAACATCCATTCCTGCAGGGAGCCCTTTTCGTACCAAGCCCCAGGTTCGGTACGACCCTCCTGGCACACTAGAGTGTCCAACTCACCGTACCTGAGGTTCGGTATACGACTGGATCTCTATAGGGATCCCTGGAGGGTGCGACTCAGAGAAATTAGACATCCGTCTGAGACGATCCCTGTTCACGTCGGACTGTTCACATCACCTTCGAAGGAAGGGGAACCCTGCTGGTTCACAGCGGTGACTGGGGCCCCGAGCCCTTTGCTTTTGGAGGGTCCGGATCCTATCCGGGTGAGATAATATATTTGCCGATCAGTTACTGGTGGTTGAATTCGGGGTCAATGTAGTATATGATATGTATGCCAGTCCCAGATAGGTCGTGTTTGGGTGTGAGTTTGATGTTTTTGAAACACCCTTAACAAATGATCACCTCATGACTCACTGTAGGACATCCAAGATCAACACCCACTTTGGATGTGTTTATCTTTCCCCGTTTGCAGACAAAAGTCATGGCATGCCATCACTGCCACAGCGGTTTTTGCCCCCGAAGAATGTAGGGGTCCCATGGAACCTGCTGGGGATGCTGTGAGCTTCGTCCCAGAAATCTCTTCGCCTTTTGCATCTCTTCGCAGGCGCAAGAGGCGTGCGGTCTTTGGGGCCAGGGCTTTTATGGACTCCTGCCGGCTGCAGTGGTACGGCTGGGTTTCACAGGCCAGGATGGTCTGTGTCACACCTGAGATGGCTTTAGAGTAAGAAGACTTGTTCTACATCGGAGTCCAGGATGAATTCTGCGACACATTCGGGAGCAATCCTGATTTTGGGGAAACTCTTAATCCACAACCAACGCAGCTTTCTTTCTTTCTTTCTTTCTTTCTGTTTTTCTTTCTTTCTTTCTGTCCCTCTCTCTCTCTCTCTTTTTCTCCTCCGAGGTACCTTGGCCATATATGTCCTAGGCTTTCCAATGCTTTTTGGAAGCTCGGCAGACGATTTGCTCCGCTGCTCCGATGGGACAGCCGGTGTTTGGAGTGGAGCAGCGGAGCGTCCCATGGAGTGTCTGGGTATGTTTTCTTCACAGCCTCGGTACTCTCATGTTCATTGGTATTTCCATGACATCATCGATGATGATGCTGTTCAAGTTAGGGGTGATTATGGTGATGGTGCTGCTGAGGCTGCTGCTACGGAACTTTGCCCGTTGGCGTCTAAGTAGGCTCTGTGTCAGGTCTATCGTCCACAAATCATACAAGTAAGTTCATCGCTAATGTTCAGCCATTGTCGTCATCGTCATCGTCGTCATCATCATCATCATGATCGTTGTCCTCATCGTCGTCCTCCTCCTCCTTGTCCTCGTCCTCGTCCTCGTCCTCATGATCATCCTCATCCGCTGTCACTGGGAATACGAGAACAAAAGACCCAAAACTCTTGGGGTACTGCAACCTTTGGCTCCCAATCAAGAACAGGATAAGGACACTATATATGTTCGACGATGTTCTAAACAAATGGGACCTAATTCCGACACCCAGGGCCCGTGTCCTGACTGTTTGCCTTGATCAATCTGTTGCATCCATGTCGTTGGGAGATCGTCCTGCGCGAACCTGTATGAAGTCCTGTCAGGTTGTGTAGACACCGGGAGATGGTGTTTGTTTCTGAGTTCGGCACGCATTCTTTAGAGAGGTGATTGGGAGTCGGGACCGACCGCTTGCTGCTCGGCTCGGTTGTTCGGTACAGGTCAATATATTGAGCATGAGTATGACATTAACCCTACGAGCCAAAGACTATACAAAGAAGGGTCTTTAGGTATCCCAAAAAGGAAGTTCCTTTACTTCAGTCTCTCAAAATATAGTCGAACTGGACTTCTAGGGTTAAAGTAGGTAGGCCTCCCAACGTCCGAAGCACGGAAATCGACGCAGTCTACCCCCTTGGGCCACAGGGGGGGTCTCCCTTTTGACCAACCAAACCCGCACACGCGACGAGTCCGCCGAGGAACCATGCTGGGACAGCGCAAGAAGGTGCTACGTCGAATGAAGGCGAGGGTTGCATCGGAGGATGGGTGAACCCATGCACCTTATAAGGATCCGAACGGACCCTCCTTAGAAGGGGTCGAACCCTGCTGTTCACAGGGGCTTGGGGCCCCTCAAAACCCTTGTTTTTGAGGGTTCGATCCCTTCTAAGGAGGGTCCTTGGATCCTTAGGGAACTATAAAAGCGAAATGACTGGTCTTTCATGTTGGGGCATCTGACTCTAGGCCTTTCCTGCGGTGTCTGACGTCCGACCACATGCCCGTTTTTTCCTGCCAGCCGTTTTCGACGTCCTTAGAAACGCGGTGAGCTCGTCCGTCAGGAGGCGTCTGAAGAGAAGAAGTCCAAGTGACCATGCCTGGCGACATGCCTTGAATTCCCTTTGATGCCTTGGCGACCTCGCCTCATGCACGACAAGTTCTCGGCAACAAGAAAGTTCGACTTAGATGAGACAAGCTGGCACAGAAGGAGCCAAAGGAGATTGTGCGCTGCAGTGCTCGTTTTTTGAAGCACATGACGAATCAAATACCTTTGCCGTTCAACTTGAACCTGTTGGTTAGACCGAATGGGCAAGCTCTTTAGATCCAAGGTGTTGAGTCGACTGGCAATGCACGTCCGCTACCCTTGCAAAGTTTATGCTGGTCTGGAAGCTCTCTACCAGGACCCTCCGTTCGGGGTGTCTATGGCTATAGCCTCTTAGTGCTTACAGGCTGTTACGGGGCGTCCTTTCACACCACCGGGCGAACGGAAGGTCCTGGTAGAAATTGTGAAGGAACTGACTGGTCAATTGGAAGGTCCTGGTACAACTGACTGTCCTGTTTGCTGATCAGAACTGCTGGACACTGGAGTCACTGGAGGCTGCTTTCATCATCGATCGACCCTATGGACCTCTATGAACCCTATGGTCCAGTGTGCCACACCTGGAGCGAGACCTGGAGTGTGTGCAAAAAGAGTACGATACCTGGCATCTTCCAACTATGCAACATATCTGCCGAACTTGCCTGGTGTTGAATAGAAAAGCAAGGCAGACATGTTGCAGAGTTGGAAGATCCAGGTATGTCAAAAACAAAACACCGCTTGGACATGTTTGGACCATTCATTCACACCCCTCCGAGCTCGGAGCACCGACCGCCGACCCGCCGGGGTTCGCAGCGTCGAGGCGACGAGATGCGAAGGAGTGACGGAGGCAGAGTGAACCGTGAAAACTGGCCTAGCCTAAGCCAGACACTCAATGTATCCCTATGGATCCACATACCGAACCAGGTTGGTACGGTGATTGGAGACTATATTGATGTAGGCTTGGAAGGTCCAAGGACGCCTTCTGAGAAGGTATGTGGATCCATATAGGGTACGGAATACATGCCGCCCCATAGACCCCCCAAAACCACCCCTGGCCGTTTCTCGGCAGTCCTATGGCAGACATCGGCAGTCCCATTGCAGTGTCTGCATAAGGATCCGGACCCTCCAAAAGCCAGGCTTTAGTTCGGGGCGCCGCCTCACCTCCTCCTGACCGCAGCTTTCAGCTCCTGGGAATGTGAAGAACACTTGACCGCCACATCCCGCCGGATCCCGCCGGGCATGGGGGTCTTAGGTCGCAAGTCCCGGAAGGTCAGTGGTTGGGTGGACGCGGCGTCCCGGAGCTCCATCTGGGGAGGCCACAATGCCGATGAGATCGAAGCTTGGCACGGGGGACGCGGAACGGCCTGGGGCGGTCAAGCTGGTTTCGGAAAAACAGACCGACACCTGTCAGGTGCTCCCTATATCCCTATCCACTCCATATCCCATACATTCCATGGGACTGGAATATATGCCTACATTGAGGTGGTTTGCGGGTTCAATGTAGGCATATATTCCAGTCACATGGAGTGTAATTATGGGTATGTGTTGCGTTTGAGGGTCCGGATCCTGAGAATGTTGGGTGGAACAAGGTATCATCACCCACCACAGAGGAAACACAGAATTCTATCGGGTACATGATAGATGTTCGAGAAACCACATCATAGTCGCCCGCGAGCTCATTGGTTGGGGGTCAAATGGCAAGATGCGAACCAAAGGGAACAGACAGTACACACTATCTCCATCCAAGAGAGGTTTAGTGACCTTATAGACCCCGTCACCTGGGGTAGCCTGGGATAGTCTAGTTCGAGTCATTCAACCTCTGTTGGATCCATTTCCACTCTCAGTTCACGTTGTTGAGGACAGCATCAACACCCTGGGTGGGGTGGTCAGTGCCTTGGCTTTATCCTTCGTCTTGGGCTTGCAGTACATGGTGGCGCCCGGCACGGATGAAATGCAATATGCCGACTTCAGAAGCCTCATTTGTAAGAGCCAGGAGAGCCGGGAGGTAGGGGACCTCGGACTCTGGCGGAGTCTGGCCAGATGTGGACTGAGTGACTGACATACCTTGAGGCAGGATCCGGGCCCTCAAAAAGTAAGGGGTTTGGTTAACTGGGCCTCAGTGATGCACCATGTCAGGAAAGCAGACAACATTCGTGAGTCGAGCCTCGATCTATATATAGATCATGCGGTTCGCCGAGCCTCGCTTTGTTTCTTTGGGCCAACCCGACCTTCATCGTTTCTTCCCCGTCCGACGCTGCCTGGCAGCTCAAGCTGCTTAAGACTAGCTGTCGACGTTCGTGACGTCCGTTCGACCTGCAGGAGTTTCGGAGCTTTGTCATTGATGTTTTCAAGGTCGAGGACATTGGCAAGCACAGCGAGGAGCGTCCCGTCGTCGGACGACGGTCGACGGCGCAGCCGCTCGGCGCGAGCGGAACGAGCGACGGGTTCGGTAAAAAAGAGGTGCCCTAAGGATCCGTGGACCCTCCTTAGAAGGGATCGAACCCTGCTGGTCGCTACCAAATTTAGAAGATGTCCATGCAGTAGGGGTTTTCCGCTTATATAATTATAGGATCTGATCAAACCGCCATTTCCGCCCCCAAGGAAGAAAAAACGCCCTGGCCAAACGCCTGAGACCTTGCAAGGCCCAGTGCATCCCTATAACACTATATTAAGGAACCAGGGATTCGTTCGGTCTATGGTTTTAGTCTTTGGAACCACTGGGACTCCCAGCTAACTCGTGGTTTGCCTGGATGCCCTTGCAAGGAGTATTTCAATTTCACTAAGATGGTGCGGCTCAACACTTACATGGACATCGAGCAGTTGCTCCGCACCGGCGTGCAGTCCCGCTACGGTGAATCTGAAGGCCCAGAGAAGCACATCGCATGCATCAGCGACCTGGAACCAGGAGATGGCCCAGTTCGGGTCATCCAAGGGGGGTGGTGTCCAGGTTCGCAAATAGTATAGCCCTAAGGATCCGTGGACCCTCCAGTCTGAAGGTGAAGGAATCGAACCCTGCTGTTCACAAGGGTTTGGGGCCCCTCAAAACCCTTGGTTTGTTTCGGGTGCAGATCCTTAGGGAGGGTAGTCCAGCCAGGACACCCAGGTCCAGGATCATCCAGATGGGTGAAGCTTTCTTTTTGTTTTTTCGAAGGATCCTGACCCTCAGCAACATGGGGTTTGCTTCGGCCGTTTCGCCCTGTTACCCGAACAAGAGAGGTGAAAAAGCCCCTTGTTGGTGTCCGTCCCGGGGGTGAAGCTGGATTCACTGGTGGTGTTGGAAAAGAGTCCCGGGGGTGAATCCTGTTTCCCTGGGAGTCCAGTCGACCATTAAAACAATGGGAACGACCTGGTTTTTGTGTAAAATCCTTAGTTGATTGGGTAGTCAGCCTATTAATGGTGGGCCAGGAAGCCTAGGGGTTTGGGTTCTTTTCTTCTTAACCAGGTTGGACTTGGACCGATGTACATGTGCCCTTCTCGAGGGCCGATGATTTCTTGGTCTTGGTCTACAAAGCTCTTTTTCTCCCAAGTCCAAAGACCCAGTAAAACCTGGTCAATTGACCTCCTTAAGGTTTATGACCTCACCATCTCCAGTAAAATGAGGTCTTTGACGGGGTATAGATGCATGTTTTTTCTGAATAGCTATACCCTAGAAGCAAAGACCATATATTGACCGTCCTGAAGAAAAGGAAGTTCCCGAACTCAGGTCCCCTAAAGACCAATCTTTGTATAGTCTTTGACTCCCAGGGTATATGAATCGCGACAAAGTCAGCCAGGGGTGCTTGAGGGCCCAGTCGGCCTGTGAACAGAGCGTCTGGGATAGCTACCCAGAGACAGACCGAGACAGACCAGGTCTGGTGGACGGGTTCTTCGTGCATGGTGAACCTTTTTTTTACCTGGGCTTCAGATGGAACGAGCCATCCCCGTCTTCTCATCTACCAGGGGTGAGACATGTCAACTCCTTGGAGCTGGAACCGCTTGGTGATGGACTCCACCTACCCCTATATATTGGGCCGTCCTTTCCGGACTTCGGAAACCGTCCTTCGACCACGTCCTGAGGCGACAAAGACGTGCAGACGGCCGTGGCCTTCACCGCCGCAGAGTTTCCCATGGAGTACATGCGCGCCTTCGTGTTGCAGACGCCCGGCGTCCGGCGTCCGGCGCGGCGGCGGTTCGGTCGCTGGGGGTGGCGAAGGAGGGAAGAGATTGTTCAGGTGGAAGACGAGAGGAGGGGGAGCAAGAGGGGGGATCTTGCGTTGGTGTTTGGGGAGAAGTCGCGGACTCTGAGGGTTTCACTCTTGGCAACATTTTGCTGGGTTTGGATGCGGATGGTACAGCCCACAAGGTGTATCCTAGCCTTCCTGGCCCAGCATTGATTTAATAGTCTGAATCCCGAAAAAAGAGACACACGTTTTACTAAGGACACTACAAAACCAGGTCGTTCTCATTTTTTCATAGTCGAACGGAAGGCTTGTACTGACCGATGGTGGAACACTGCCGCCCCTGCAGTGTTCCTGGCAGTTCCCGGGTCGTTTTCGAAGCCCCGACGCGTTGTCGCTGACGCCTCAGGACCGGTGATTTTTACCGATGGTCAAAGGTGACCGAATACATCGGAGGGCTGTCTGGTTCCTTGATCTTTTCCTCGTTGCTGTGGAGCATCATCTTGAACCTCAGCCTAGCACTGGCGCCCGTGCGCGAAGATGCTAGCGGAACTGCCTTGGTGGCATGGTTGATGATTGGAGGACCGGTGTGACTGAAAATAGGGCTCTTCACGCTCAGCAAAACGGAGCACAAATCCAGAGCCACCGAAGGATTCAGGGTCAGGTTCAGAACTATCCCAGACGCGACCCCCTGAAGAAGTCGGGACCTGGTTTGGTTCGGGACCGGAAGTAGGGCGGTGAACGACAAACGTGGTCGAAACGCGTCCTTCCCGGTCGTGGTGTTGATGAGAAAAAACGGATTGACCTCCTTCCCTTGACTCCGATGGTGGGAGGTCCTCTGAGATGCCGGGAGGATGAAGCCTCCATGTCACTCCCAGCTGTTTGACTCAAAACGACGGTCATGAGGTCCTGTTTGAGGTGCTTCCCTTGGCGTGAATACTAAGTGAGACGCCCTTTTATCCGCCCAAATCGAGTCTGGATCTTCCAACTGACTGTGCAAAACATCTGCCTTTTCATCCCAGCCAAGTTCGATCAGACTTTCTCAGTGCTCATGAATGCAGGCCTCAGCCGGGCGTCATCAGCTCGAGCGTCCTTCTCGGTCACCCCCCAAGAGCTGTCCAGCTGTTCGGATGCTTGAAAAGGAGGTCAATGTAAGCCCTAGAAGTCGAAGCACCATTGTTTTACTAATGGGTTTTACACAAAACCAGATCGTTCCCATTTGAAAACACGGTCGACTTGACTTTTATAGGGTGTTCGCCTGCCGAATCGGCATGCGGATTGGATGATTTGGATCTTCAAGTTGATCGTCCCGGTTCCGGAGTGCTCCATGAAAACAGCCCGACTGGGCCGCCCTCACCAAACCATACCCAGACACGACTAATGGGACTGCCATAGGACTGCCGCCCCATTGACCCCTCAAAAATCCCCAATGTAGGCATATATGGCAGTCCCATGGAGTGTCTGGGATAGGGATTGGTGAGGGTCAGGACTCCCGACCCGTCCCGATGAGGAAGGTCCGAGCCCTGCATAGGGTTCAGGGTCGCGTCTGGGTAGCATAAGCAGAAGTTCTATGGAGTTGGGTTCCGCACGCAGGGAAAAAAGTCGGGGGGCGCATCAACTCACATCCACTCACTCAGCTCCCCAAGATGTGTGTTTGCACCCTTGATTCTAACGACCCATTGTTCAACTGACCATGTTGGACAAAGCGGGACACCTCCGTGACACGAGATGGGGTTTCCAGGACCCACGATGTTTGCCAACTACCTCTTCCTGGTGGTGGGCCTCATGATGTTCTTCTTCACACATGGCAGGCAACTGATGGCGCTGAGCCCTTTTGCAGGGGCCACGATGTCCAATACGGTGGATGTCTCCTTGTTCTCCATTCTGCTGCCCATCTTTCTGATCGGACTTGTCTTAGGCCAGGCATGCATGGCTGTCGTGCGCAGGAGTTGACACGTGGTGCAATCATCCTCCACACACCAGATTCGCACATGATTGTTTCCAAGCCAAGCAAGAAAGCTATTCAAACCGTTCTCAGAAGTTTCATGGTAAATACATGAAAATCCACAATATCAACTTGACAAGTGTTCCAATTTCTGGGTGTCCACCTGTTTCAATTTGGGGAGTAGCAGATTTTGGATGGTCCGCTGTCCACTGGGCCCTTGCTTGTATCTGGAAAAAGACCTTTCTGGGGTTCATCAACCTCTGATCCCAGACACTCCATGGGACTGCCATATATGCCGATCAGTTGGGGTGGTGCCAGAGGGGTCTTTCTGGGGCGGCAGTCCGTCCTGGCAGTCCCAGACAGGTCGTCCCTTCGCCCAAGCGACTTGACTTCGCGGTCCCTCGTCCCTCTCGATCGTCGGTCCCTCTTGTGATCCTAAAAGAAGTGGTCCGAAAAGGGGGGCTGTAAATCTTGGTTTGACATGTTTGACGCCCATCCCCTGGAGGCATGCTGGCCACCTATTGGTCAAGCCGGAACTCCAAGGAAGCCAAGCCTGAAGATCCACCTGAATTGACTGGTGTGAGCGAGGGTACGGGGGCAGATCCAGATCCTGCCTTGGAAATCGAGGACAAGTCGAAACTGAAGCCAGAGCAGCTCGGCGACTCCAGTACTGGGATGGAAACCCGCATGTAGGGGGTACAAATCCGTCTACTGAGGGGCAACATCTTCTTTCATGTTCTTTGCAGGTGTTGCCGAATCCTTCGGAAATGGAAGAATTGCATGTCTGCATGAAGAAGCCTGAATGTGAAGGATGCGGCAATGTTTGCACGGCGACAATTAGTGTGTGATTCTATTGCATGAACCTTTCAAAAGAAAAGACACCTTGCGCCGCGGGCTTGGAAGCTTAGATCGGCCTGGGCTGGTCTTCCAGTCTTCATCTCAAGCACCTCTACCAGTAGACCCCGGGTCTTCTGCGTGGTGGTGTCCAATATGTCTATGTTCGACCTTTGCTGATGATTGAACCATATTGAACCGTTTTGGTCACCCATCTGAAGTCACTTGAACTTTCACCCACCACCAAGCAGTCTGCATGGTCTTGTCCAATCGAATCTTGGAATCATTTTGTGGGTCCGTGTCGTCCGTGTCACTTGAAGCACCATGGCAGTTCCATGTGGACGCGTGGCCGGTGGACGCTGTCCTCCGCACCGTGGGTTGCGCAGCGCAGCGCCTGCGCAGTTCGAACGAACGGGTGGCCCACCAACATGGTCGTAGCCCCCGGTTGCATCCATCAGCCGGACATTCCATGTATACCCTTAGGCCCCTAAGGATCCGGACCCGCCAAAAACCCAAGGGTTTTGGACGGTTTTTGGTTCGGGACTTGTACGTCACCCCGTAGTTCACAGCAGGGTCCGACCCCTTCAGACTGGAGGATCCGAACTCGGATCCCTATAGGGTATGAAGAATAGACCGGATCATCCTGTTGAGGGTGTCCTGGCTGGAGATCCAGTCGCTCCGCAGTGTGGTAGTCTAATTGGATCCAAAAACCGCCAGGCGAAAAAGGAAGGTCCTGATGAGATTTGAGATGTCAACGCCCCCTTACACCCTGGAAGACTAACATGGAACCTGAAAACCCCAAAATCGTCTTCCATGGGACGAGGACGTCAGGGTCTATGTGAGTTTTCGGGGGTCCAGGCCGTGTCGTGGCTGTTCAATCCATGTCTGGGGTGAGGGCCATGAATGTCTACATGCGAACCTAGGGTGATCGATGGAGGCGAGCGAAAGGGTCGTCCTGTTTACCGAAGCCTGAGAACCCTGGGTTTCGTCGTTGTTTTAAGGATCCGAACGGACCCTCCAGTCTGAAGGGATCGAACCCTGCTGTGAACTACGGGGTGACAGGGGCCCCGAACCAAACCCTTGTTTTGGCCATCGGGTGCGGATCCTTTCGTCGTTGTTTTAAAGATCTGGCCTGGACTTTCCGGACCTTCAGGACTTTCCTGACACCTGGGGCCTAGTGTCCCAAATGTCCCACTTCTGAGAAGGTCTATACCACCACGTCACCAGCAACTTTTAAGACTGCAAAAGCCACCAGGGGAGACCTGTAGAGTCGGCTGCTGGTATGGCTCCCTACATGGCCATCTCCAATCGGCTCTAAAACCTCCTCGCCAGGTGCGGAGGCCCCGAGGCCCGCCGCGGAACGCCCGCAGCACTCCACGTTTGGGGGGGCGGAACGAGGCGTTTGGGTTCCGCGGCTTCCAGTCAACGGGAACGCGGGTGCCTGGATTCCAACCATGATTTTTATAGCCGGGTCATCCCGAACAACCATTGTTGTACTACCCGGATAGGATCCGGACCCTCAAAAACATAGGGCTTGGCAGGAGCGGAGAAGGATGCAGCAAAACTAAACACAAGATGGCGCGCTCTGCAATGCACCAGTGCAAGTACCGCCATTTGGAAGTGGTGAGAGAGGTGCTTCAGCCAGCTCAGTAAAATGCTGCAGCACAACATAGTAGCACAGCTGTGCTTGTGGCAAGTGAAGAAGACCACTTCACACCGTCTTCTAGAGTGCTTTGCAGAAACTGTGAGGTTGAACTGTGGGTTACTGGGAGTCTCATGGACCTCAAGAGGACATGCCCACCTGCGGACACCGATTGAAGTTTGACCTCCTTTTTTTGTCCAAGTGGAGGATGTAAACACGAATTGAGTTGAATGTGTTGAATGGTCAAAACCGAAGAGAAAAAAGCGAGCTGAGTTCACCCCCAACACTCCATGGACCTGGAGTATTTCTATACCTACATTGATCCTTCATCTCAATCTCCACCCATCCATGTAGGCAATAGGCTTCCAGCCATCCATGGATTGTTTAGGCAAGAGTCTCCGGACTCCTGGGATATCCTGGGATAATCTCAGTAAACGCGTGGTACGCACATGTCAGTTTTCCGTGCGAAAACTGTCCTAACCGTTGTTTCCAACCAACAGAGGCTGATTGGAACCCTAGTTCGACTATCCCATAGGATCCCAGTTAGGTAATTACTTACGGGTTTCTTTTGTATCAGGTCACACAAACAACATCAAACCACCCAGTTCAGTCCGTGGTTCCCTTGGAAAAACCCCTTGTTGGCTCCGAGATATTCCTTTCGCATCGCGCTGCGCCGCGGCGCCGCATCTCGGCTCCCAGTTCCGTCCCAAGACGTCACAGAACAAATCCAACAAACACCACACGGAACTCCATGGAAACACATGTGTCCAGTTTGCACTTACCTATTAGCTATGGTTCACGATGATGGTTCACGTGTGTGTGTGTGTGTGTGTGTGTGTTTGTTTCCAGATGCTTCAAAAGACATGGCCAGTTTCCAAGGATCATGTCCAACAGACGAACAGTCACCGGACATGAAATGACATCAAAGTACCAAGAAACAGCCGAGAAGAGACTGTGGGTGTTCTTCCATGATCTGAAGCTGTTCACGGTTTGCACACTGTTGGCCAGATAGGTTCAAGTCTGTTGCCCTGTAAGAAGGGATCCTTCAAAGCCGACCAGAATCCTGGACCAAGTTATTGGGTAGGAACACTCACACACGTTTCTTCCTCACGCTTGCTCTTTGGCACCAGCAGCGAATTGACTATGTCGACCGGCACGTTCACGAAGTCAAGATCCCGAGCGCAGAATTTGTTGGGTGAAGGCCATCGCAGGTCGTAGGTTGGAGGCCATGCCTATTAGGTTCCTTAAGTCTTTTTGTCTTAAAGTGTTGTTCAGTCCCTAGGGCTCCTGGCCCATATCCTCAGGTTCGGTGGTATTCGACCCCCCAAAGCACCCACCCCTAGGGGAGGTGGGCCAGGAGTCCTTGTTCAGTGCTGTTTCACCACGTGCGACTCGGCTTGGAGAGCGCCAGCCTCGTCGAGGCCCGCGTGCGGGACGGTTTTGGTGGCGTGTGGACACACGCCCCGCTGGTCGAAGGGCCTTTTTCACAGACCGGGACCATCCAAGGGGTATATAGTGTAGGGTATTGTAGGGTAGTATAAATTGGGCAACTCCATGGTGCTAGTCCCTCCCAAGTTTGTTGTATAGACCCTGGAGTCAAAGACTATAAAAAGAATGGTCTTCAGGGGACCTGAGTTCGGGAACTTCCTTTACTTCAGCCGGTCAAAATATCGTCGAACTGGACTTCAGCCGGGTAGATGGATAGCATGACACCTTTCGAGTCTTGGGTCGCTCAGATGGGGGGCCACCCGATTCCGCGACCCGAACTCGGCCCCGAATCCGGGGTCTGGGGTACCTTCTCACCCATCCCAATGAGTTTGGTTCGGGACCGGGCGGAGGGTTGTGAACGAAAACGGAGCGTCGACGGGCACTTGACATCGACTAGTCAGAAGTACCTTTTGGACAGCAAGCATGACTTTGGAGTCCGCATGAATCGCATGAATCCTTAAGCAGGGTGGGTGAAAGATTCTCCAAACTCGAGTCATGGCATCTGATGCATGTTCCAATCAACAAGAGTATAGTTTGAAGTCTATGCTATGACCATGCGGAGGTTAGGATGTTTATAAGATCGCAGTTCGCAGATCGCCATGCCAACAGTTCCAAAGGACACCCACGTGACCCACGGGGCGGTCCCGCGTCCTCATCAAGAGAAGAGTGACTTTGGGACAAACATACAACGTAATATGGAAGAAAACCCAAATGAGTTTCGACACATTGGCTATATGGCTATGACATATTATCCCTGCAAGTCCACATTTGACGACCGAAGGTTCGGCCGGACATTCCTCAGAACCCGGCCATTGGAACGCCAAAAGCTCCAGACTCCCAGGCCTTTGGCGCGCCAAAAAACGACGAAAACGCCCTGCAGTTTCATGAGATCTAGACAGGGACCGCACCAGCCGAGCCGCATGGCAGGGACCGTGATGGAGCCAGCCCTCCCTGAGGCGCGATTTCGTATGGGACCAGAACGGACTCCGTCAGAGACATTAGACTGAAACACTCATCACCCAGGCCAAGCGATGGAAGGGGGGGGCCCATCAACCCCGACAGCTGTCGGGTTTGGACCTCACAACGGTCGGGTGAAATGAACCTCACGCCTCACGCCATCCTCACGCCTCAGCAGCTTCGTTTTTGTTTTTTTGTTTTTGGGTCGCCTTTGGGGTGAATTGGACCCAATCTATGGCTATACCCAGACGTACTCCATGGGACTCGCATATTTACCGATCAGTTGGGGTGGTTTTAGGGGTCAATGTATGTAAATATGCCAGTCCCATGGAGTGTTTGGGTCTAATTGGTTCTTCCAAAGTCAGAAAGAACCTTGGAGCCTCTGAGCGTGAATTGTCCACCCTGCACTCTGAGCCTGGAGCGACGCAGAGGTTTGCTGGAAAAAAGCACTCTGACTCACTAACATGGAAGTGGAAAATGAATGACACTTGCCTGTTTGTAGAGGAGAATGGTCATCCCAGTGGCCATGCCATCCATTTCGTGATGTGTTTGTCGAATCCAATACAGACTTACTCTTAGGGATCCCGTCGTACCGAACCTCAGGTTCAGTACGACTGGAGCCGACCGCACCTTCCGAACACATCACCTTTTGAGAAGGTACGACTGGACCCCTTGGGTCAGTGGGGATCTACTTTGTTCTATCTATTTGGGGTTCTATCATATCCCTATAGGATTCAAACAACAATTGTGTTAATGGTCTTTACCAAAGAACCATTGTTTTACTGATGATAGTACTATGGATTTTTACATTACACCACCAGCTCAACCGTTCTTTTAATGGGCTTTGAAGGCTAGGGATATGCAATGTAGACTCTTGAATATATAGTTCAACCCACCATGCCTAAAGAGTTTACAATCCATGTCGCTTTGGAGGTATTTATGAATGAAGAGTCTACATTAGGCCAACGAATCATTGGTTCCACTGGAACCCAACCTCCCCTTGAACATGAGCATAGCCG